CAATTCAAACTTACAAATACAATTAAAACCTAAAAAATAAAATAACAATGTTACGCTATTTTCACCTGTAAAATTGGCAATTAGTGAATAATTTAACAATACTCCACATGGGTGCAGATGTAGAAATAGGAAAGCTTTACAATATGCAGCAATGTTTATTATCTGAGTCATTTATCCTGATCATAAATTACAAATTTGGAGACAAAAATACCATGGTATTTTTGATATCTCTCAGATTTCTCAATAAACTTCTGTGGCAAATGTTTCCTTATTCTCTATAAGTTTCAGAGAGTTTGCACATGGTACTCAGAACATATAATAGATATAATAGACTGTCCATAGAGTGAACATTATGTTGTGGTGGTCCCACCTCAGATGGAGTTCAGAAAAACATAGACCAGTTAAAGGACATCATAATTGTATTGGATTTGTTTGTATTTCACATTTATCATAAACATCTCAATAACTTTCAAAGGTTTGTACTACCCACTAAATTTAGTTTTCGAAGGATAGACCAAAATATCAAGACAGAAATCAGGCAAAATTCAATTAAGCTAATCCAAGTGCTAAAACATTTATGTTGCTATGAGACTCCTGTCTTTGTGATAATTAGAAAGAATACACATGCTGTGTAATCTTGTCCAGTTGTTTAACATGAGTCTTATTTTTGTTTCTCCAGTATGCTAGAGATATTGTTACAAAACTCAGAGGCATTTGAATCTTGACATACTCAATGTTGTTTTCAGTACAAAAAAGACTTTTTCTCTCTTCTCTGTCTCCCTCCTCCATTCTTCTTGAAGCTCTATGCTAACATTTTCCCCACTCTGTAATAATAAACAGACCATCAAATATCAGGTGTACTTGCTTATAAGTTTTATGGCTTAATTTTCAATTAGGTACTCTGGTGATATTCAGGTGTAGACAGTCATATCTACTTCTATGTAACAATACTGTCATGGTATTACTGGATTTTACTGCTTAGAATTCCATCAATGAAGACGTTGATTCGAGTAAATGTATTCTTTGCATTTGGAAAAAATGCTGAGGTGAATGTTGAGTAAGAACTAATAAATGCCATTTATAATTTCCTAACACTTGAAATTAAGGTAGATTTACCTTTATGGGCTAGTAATGCATATTCATTATATTGAAGAATAGACATGTAGTTACACTTAATTAATTTATCTTTTTCTTTCTTTTTTGTCTACCAGTAAATTCGGAGATTGACACTCTCACTTAGCTTTTTGATGCAGAGCTTTTGTTTTTCCATTTGAGCCACACCTCTACTTCTTACTTTTGCTGATTAATTGAAATTAAGAGTATCATGGACTTTTCTGACTGGATTAACTTTGAACCTTGATCCTTAAACACTAGCCTCTTGAGTAAAGGAGTAGAGGAATTAGCATCAGCACCTAGCTAAAAATCCATCTTTAAATAGTTTGTTGATTAAAATTGGTTTATATTTCCAAGTTTATATTCAAGTTTGTAATTTCCAAATACTATATATTCAATGTTACTTTCTTAAACATAAAAGCAAGACAGTGCACACATTCTGGAAAAATGTCACTGTAGAATTTTCATTATAGGGGCTGGGAAGGTGGCTCAGTGGTAGAGCACTTGCCTTGCATGTATGAGGCCCTGGGTTCGATTCCTCAGCACCACATAAGCAAAAAGAAAAAAGCAGGCAGTGGCGTTCTGGCTCAAGTGGTAGAGCTCTAGCCTTAAGCTGAAGAGCTGAGGGACAGCACCCAGGCCCAGAGTTCAGGCCCCTCGACCGGACCCCCCCAAAAAAAGAATTGTCATTATAGTTCAGATTATTGAGTTCATCCTGCTGTAAGCATCAAGGTATAAACTATGTCAAGGACTTGAACCAGATATTGTTATTGACAATGAGACAACAGATACCCAGAGTTCAAACGCAAAGTTCAAATGTGCTCCGCAGATGGTAAAATAAGTGGATAGATGAGTATGTCTTGGGAGAAGTTGACCTATGGAACATGGCTGATGTAAGGCAGGAACAAGTTGTTATTTCATTTAATTTTTTTTGTCGGTCGTGGGAGCTGACCTCTGGACCTGGGTGCTGTTCCTCAGTTCTTTAGCTCAAGGCTAGTGCCCTACTACTTGAGCCACAGTGCCTCTTCTGTTTTTTGTTCTGCTTATGTGGTACTGAGGAATTGAACCCAGGGCCTCATGCATGCAAGGCAAGCACTCTACCACTGAACCACCTTCCCAGCCCCTAAATTGTTACTTCTAAAGGTAGTCTCTTCTTATAGCTTTGGCCTCTAGATTCTAACAACCATCCATTCATGTTTGAGTCAGGAGAGAGAAAAGGCAGAGAATACTCACAAAGACAGTAATCTTCAAATACTAAGAGGCATTATAGAATGAATTAATAAAATTTTTAGGAAGTAACATTATGTTAAAATGATATTTCTATCTTTGTAGATCCAGAGTCTATGTAGAACCCAGAACTTACTATCAGATTATAATATCTTCACTGTTCTATAAGTTATGGTTTAGTAAAAAAAAAAAAAGTAATGAATTTCAAATCATGGTAATGAGTTTCTTGTGTGACTTTGAAAATGTCATCCAGTTTCCTCATTTGTAATATGAGAGACGGAAATTAAAAAAAATATTGTATAACTATTAATTTTTTCTGTTCCATAACTCTATTATTAAATAATTACTACATGTTAGAGTCTTTTTTTCTGTAGATATAATAGTAGTACTCTCATTCAGATGTTCTTCAGATGTACTGTTTTCTATCTATAAGTTCCATGAAATTAGTCATTCTTTCCTCTTATTCATTGATGTATCACAAGCTCTTTAAGGTCTAGTAAAGGCAGTCCATATTTGTTAGATGAATGATTAAATTCATATCAAGGACTTAACATAGTAATTAGCATAACACATTTCTAGGTGGACCTACTAGAAATGTGGTTCTGATAAATGGTTTTAACATTCCTGTGCCACTTTATGAACACAGTTGGAGGAAATAGGAGGAAAGTTGAAGGAGATTGAGTACTATGTTATCATTTCCAAGTCTATAAGAGAGAATCACATTACTGTGAAAGAAAAAAATATGAATCGAGACATAGAAATTACAAGGAAATTTTGTTTGGTTTTACAGAGCTACAGGGCCTTGAACATGCTGCATTAATGCTCTACATTGAGCTGCTCCAGTATGAGAGACATATTTTAAACAACCAGAATGGGAAGATTTTTCTAACAAAATTGGTGAAAGATGAAATAAGTGTGAATTATTATATAATTAATCAATAAAGGACTAACAACTCCAACTCAAGGTTATAAATTTACTTTCCATGAATTAAATGACTTGGGAAAAATAATTTTCTGTATTTAGCATATTCAAGGATACAAAAAGGTATACAATATAGAATTTAGACTTTGGATTTTTACAGGGAACAATAAAATAATTGATTGAAAATAGCAAATACAGTAAATATGAATCTATTTCTTATTGAATAATGCCAAACTAATTTTTTGCTATGTAATGCTGGCAGCAGAGAGGAACAACATAATTCTTTATCCTGCATCAAAAAATGCAATAGTGTGGGATGATTCTTCCTCCCAGGGAACCACTGTCTTTGGAATAGAAGGGTATTGTCAGTAGGTGTGTTCTTAGATTTTACCAAACAAACTGACACATCATTCTTCCAAAGTAAGAATTCGTTAGATAAAATGTGGACCACTGGTATCATTTTCATAAAAAATTATATGGCCTCATACCATAATGTCTCCATAAATCTACTGCCATCAAATCAGACAAAAAGAATTAGATACATAAAGTGACTATTAGAGAAATATATTTAAACAGAAGCTAGTCAATTAAGCACTTGAGATAATTTTTTTAACAATCCATAAGAAGTTATTATCAAGTTAGATGGTCTGTCAAGTATGGACAGAATTATTAGAAAGACAATGTTTTCTAGGATGTTTGCTATTATTCATTGACTTCACTTATTGAATAAATAGATGTAATACAAGACAACTTCCTAAAGATATAGAGTGGAAGAACCTTACTTGCTACTGATAAATTCTCCAATGTAAACTTCACATATATATTCCAAATGATAATAGCTTCGACTGACTGTGATGGTTAATCTTGTGTATGTATTTGCCTGGGCCATGTATTCAAGTATTAGGGCAAACATTAAGGCCTATGTCTTTGAGGGTGTTTTAGATGACAGATGTGAATCAGGAAATTAAGTAAAGCAGATTCCCACCCCTACCCTGACTTCTTGTGGATGGGCCTTATCTAATGAGTTGAAGATCTGAACAGAACAAAAAAAACCTAGTAGAAGGGAACTCTTATTGCCTGTGAACATGACATAGGACATAGATCTTGTTCAGCCTTCTGACTTGAAACCAAACACTGGTCTTCTGGGATTTCAAGCTTGCTGGCTTCATCTGGAATTCAACATAGTCAGCAATCACAGTTCTCAAGGCTGTACTTAGACTGGAACAACACTTAGGCTCTCCAGAATTTATAGATTGGTGAATGTAGATCTAATGAATTCACAGCCTCCGTAATCACATGAACTCATGCCGTATAATAAACAACATAGAAATACATGCACATTATATGCCTCATTTTAATTCACAAACTTCATGATTTCATATTATAAAACAATGGTAGGCATTCTCAAAAATCAGTTTCAAAAGCATCACTAATAAATCTGGTTCATATGCATTTCTCAACATAAATACTCAACTATTTAAGACTCCATCTCATTTCTTCCTTTTTGGGGACTTCACACATCATCTTTGTGTGTTTACTGCTATTATGATTCATCATTTTATAGCATATCTATTTATTTTTCCATGACTCTGTACTGGCATTGTCATTTGATTATTTTCAAGCTCTATTTCCATTACACAGATTAAAATTTTAAAACAACATGTATGCAAGAATTTCACAACCATGATACCCTAGGATGTTGCAAAATCCCTAGTATTAACTGTTCATTGTCACTTACCTGCCGAGAAGCAGAAATTCTCCCGCTAGACCCAGGCGCCTCATGGCCATCAGCAGACCTCTCACTGTCATGCCCTCACAGAAGCAGGCTACCACCCGAGCCTTAGGCAAGTGACTGGTGAGCTTCTTCAGCAGCTTGTCAAAGCTCTGCTCCCCTGCATTGCTGTAGATTTTGTAGGAGTGGGCGATGCAGATACCTTCTTTGGCTGACATGTCTTTGAATGCCTCCATTCCACTCTCTCCATAGTTGCCTGTGTGAAGACAAGGATAAGCACAGGGATGGTGAGATGAAATATTTGCATGGATTGGGTAGAATCAGAATGCAACAGCAGCAGAAGCATCAAGATCAATGATGGTGCTGGATCTGGAACCTGACCATCTGAATTGGAGCTTTGACTCTTTTATTGACTTGTGTGTTTTGGACAGATTGTAATTAACTACATTAGAAATATGTTTTATATTTTTATTGTGCAGTGAATAATATAAAATTGCAAGCAATTCAGCTCCTCTATTTTGACTGGGAATGTTCATATTGTTTATTTTACCATGATTTCTTTTATTTTACTATTTTTAAATTAAATTTATTTTTTGCTAATAGAGAAAACCATAGAAATCATAGGTATATAAATGAGGTAACACAATGTATCATGTGATAAACTCTTAGATTCTACATATGATTCCGGTCATGTATTTTCTTTCCATGCTTTACCTATTCCATTTAATGCTCTCCAGTCTAACCAAGTTTCATAAATTTCTTTCTTTCTTATGACTGAATAGTACTCTATTCTGTGTGTATGGCATATTTCCTTGATTAACTTATCAGTTGGGGGCAATTTACTGACATTTGCAAAGAGTGCTTCAATGAACATACATAAACACATCTTTTCATCATACTAATTGATTTCCTTTTTATGTGTACTCACAGTCTAAGACAGAAGATATCTATTGGGATTTTTCCCCTGATTTTTTTCGTTTCCTTTTTGTTTCTCATTGTATGATAATTTCACATCACTGCTTAAAGTCTGCATGTTGTATTATCCCCAAAAGTACAAGTGCTGGAATTGTGATCTCCAGTATGGCCATGTTGAGATAGTGGAAGCTTAGAGGTATGGTACAATGGAAGATACAGAGTTATGGGAGCTCCATCCACATGAGTTGATTAATGATGTCTGTGGCAGTGGGTGAGGTCTATTGAGAGGGAATTATTTGCTGTTGGTTGCTATAAAAAGAGCAAGCTTGGGTCCTTCTTAGTGACTTGTTTCCATGTTCTTACACACATCTTTCTGATGTTCTTATACACATCTCAATGAGTATACTGGTTCCCTATCAATTTTCTGCTCATATATAATAATCCAGACACCAGCATCCATGCTATTTAGTCTTTCTAGTTGCTAGAATAATGAAATAAACTGACATTATCCATTATTCATTATCCACCATTAGGTATTTTATTATAATCACACAAAATGGACTAACATACCCAACTAAGATATTTATATTTAAAGACAGTATATATGCATGTATAAATATATATGTATGTATATGTACACATCTATATATTATATAGGTATACATCTATATCTAGATATCTATATATTATATAGGTATACCTATATAATATATAGATATCTAGATATAGATGTATACCTATATATAGATGTGTATATATAGGTATACATATCTATATATAGGTATAATCTATATATAGATATCTATATATAGATGTATACCTATATAATATATAGATGTGTAGAGATATATATAATATATATAGATATATAATACATAGAGATATCTATTTATATATAGATGTATAGCTATATATTATATATAGATATATATTATGTATTACATATAAATATATACACGTATTTTTGCATATAATATTTTTTATAATATAAACTTTGTGTGGCATACATATACAAATATTTTAGAAAGAATTTTATTATATACTGCATTATAAATTTTATTTTACATATTAGTCATGGTATTTGTATCTTGGGTTCAACTGAAAAACTCAGCTGATTGGTTGAACTTTATCCTAGTCATCGATGTATAAACCCCATAAAAAACACAGCCTCATTTTGTGTAATCAGAGGAAAGTTAATATTTATGAATAATGACAGTCCTTGTCAAAACTTGAAGGTGAAGGACTCTAATGTTTATCTTTTAATATTAATGTAAATGAATATTCATATTGACAACTACATGCAGGAGGCAGACCAAAATTTTTGTGGATGTGATCTCACTTAAAGTCTCACAATATTTTGAGGAAGACATTACAACTCCCATTCCACAGATAGTACCAACAGGGCAGCTAACTCACATTTGTCCAGAGTTACAAGTGCAAGTATCAAAGGAATACTGCAGTTCTGATGGTGCAGGTCCTGTCCTTCTTCCTCCCCTCTTGTGCAGCTCACTGGCATACTCTCAGGAGTCAGCCTAAATCTATCTGCAGTTCTCCTTCTAACATAAAGGTTCTGGTGCTTCAGATTTAGATATTTTTGAACATTTTAAGGCTCTAGAAATCATACAAGGCTCATTTTCTGAGTTTTTAAGAAGATTAGATGATGGGCTAGGAAGGATGATTTAGGGTATGCAAGAATCTTGTAACATAATCATAAGAAGAATGGAACTGGCTTAAAAACTAGCTAAATCTAGGAGATGGAATGTCATCCAGAGAAGTAAACACTAAATGCCTAAGAAATACTCTGCATCCAATTTCATAGAGTTTCTAAGTCTATAACTTATTAACAACCACATGTGGGTACCACTTTAATTTGGGAACATTAGTCCATTTGGTCAAGTGTATAACTATGATAAAGGTCAATCTTACTTTCCCCTTGTCACTGATGAAACTGAAGTTCAGTCACATCAAGTAGGTAGGTAACGGAGTCTCAGTTTGAACCAGCATCTTCTGGTGGCCTCACGCTCTGCCACAGCAGGGATCCTACCTGCAACTGTGATCCTCTGGAGGAATTTTGTGTAGTTCTGTCTACAATGATGAACTGCAAAATTTGAGTCCCACTCCAGAACACTGTGAACACAGCTGCCACATTATCCTTTTCTTCTAGAACTAAAACAACAAAAAAGCATCTGTGATGGTGGAAGGTGGGATAATCCGGTTCTTCTGCAATTTACAAAGTGTAAAGGGTGTTTTCTGTAAAGTCTGCTCACAGGCCTAAGTCACTATCGAATCAGATTGAAACAGAGAAGACAATTTGGTTTTTAAAGAAACACAAATTTATCAAGACATCAGTGGCTCAAGTCTGTAATCCTATCTACCTCAGTGGCTGAGATCTGAAGCTCGTGGTTTAAGCCAGCTCAGGTAGAAACGTACAGGGGACTCTTATCTCCAATTAATCAACAAAAATCTATAACTGGAGAAGTGGGTCAAGTGGTAAAGTGTCAGTCTTCAGTGAAAAACCTAAAGGACTGCTCTCAGGCCCTAAGTTCAAGTCTTAGTCTCAACATATACACACACACCCACACACACCAAGTTAACTTTGGAAAGTCTCTTTAATCTCAGCTTTCTTAAGAAAAACAGAAGTCATATTCCTTAATGCTTTGGTATTTTGTATATTATACTTAATTTATGCCAAATAGCTAGTGATATCTTAGATCCAATCACTTGTGTTTTGGGGGTTACAAAGAATATTCTGGACCAAATTCAGCTAGTCTTTCTTGGAACAACCATAGCAAAAATAAAGCAGATGGCATTATTGTTGAAAACAATGCTGAAGAATGAGCTGAAACTAGCATTAGGAAGTATCATCAACCTATGGTCCTATCAAATGATAAATGGACAAAAATGGGGTATTCACAGCCAGCATGGCATAATAGTCAACATAAAAATAATGAATTTCTGATATTTAAAACAAAACTGAAATGCTATGCACTTTGTTATATACTCCTTTGCAATAGCCTGTTAAATAACTAACATTGAGTGAAGTAACAAATGTATGAGCAGTGTAAAGGAATCATATACTGGAACTTGGTACATGAAAATATTTATTCAACTTACTATCTGACGTGCATTCAGAATTGCACCAATGTGTCTCAAAGGTGACAGAGTATTGAGCAATACCAATGAGCTATACAATATTCTATTTGCAGAAGAGAATAGTATTCATACTTTTCAAAATATGTAGAAATATTACTTAAAGACTTCAATTTTCACTTTGATTAATAAGGATTTTGACAACTTAAGCTCATGTATTATTTGACGATAGTTGCAGTTACAGTTACTATTTAACCTGCATTGCATCAGCTATAATTTGGAAGTGTCACCAAGAACTGGTCCTACAAACCACACACAGAAACATGAATTGCTAAAGGACAACTGTGAGTTTTCTTATAATCTAAGGGAGATCAGATTGTTTATTTCCATCTTATGTAACCAGGTGCTAAATAAAATGTTTGGGGTATTATTTTGGTGTAATATGTCAGTGGACATAATTTAATTTTTTGGTGGTTCCAATTTAATTTCAGTAATTACTGTGCTACTCTGGCTCCTCTACAGTTTTTTGAGATTTTTAAATTTTTGTGTTTTGAGATGGGTTCTGACTATGTAACTCAGGATGGCTTTCAACTAGCTATCCTCCTGCATACACCTCCTAAATAGCTGGGATTACTGGCATGCATTACCACCCACAGTTTATTTGATGACTTTAGAAAAAATAATGAAGAATGAGAACATAGGTAAGATATCCTAGTAAGATATTTTGTGGAGTTTCTCTAGGCAAAATATCCACTAAATACAACATTTTTAAACCTTATGTGTGTTGGGAAGATTATCCTAAGATGCACAATTGATACATTTACACTAAATAGATTTTTATTCTGGGGGTGTTGGGGGTACTTTTTAATTTTATTTTATTTATTCCATTGTTTTCCTGCTTTCTCCAACATATTTAAAGGGAAGAGCTTCAATACTGTGCATAGATGCTGAGTCGTAACAATCGTTAATAAAACTTTACCAACAGTGATGGTTTGGAAACTTATTTCTTACTGTCCGATTTCACAAGCATATTAGTTGCTTCTCTGTATCCATGTGTGCCTTTTACCTGGTGTATTTGTGTTTTGCTAAGCTGAAATTTTGCTCCTTCTTTCTAGTTCCACTCAATTGCCCACAGCTTAAACTCTATGCTGTAGATGTCTCTTTTCCAAAATGTCACGGAGAGAGAAATCTTTAGGAAGTACAAGTTGCAATCATGAGTACAGGCCTGCTATTAGCAATGTTCCCACTGGG